TCTTCACAACCTCTTGAGGTAGGTCAGGCACAGAGAGGATAGATAACTCATATAAAATTACACTGTCAACAAGTGGCAGAGCCAGGACTTAAACTCTGGTAGTCTGGGTCCAGTCTGTGCTCTTAGCCACCATGTTATATTGCCTTTCCACTGTGTGGTACATGAATAGGAGAAAGAAAACTCAGCCTTAGGCAAGTCACACCACCTCTCTGCCACCTCTCTGGACCTCAATAAAGACAGAAGCCTGATGTAGGTGATATCTTAGAGATTCTGCCAAACTTTAAAATGCTGTACGTCACCATAATGGGATCCTCCCACCTGGAACCGAGAGCCTTGTTCCCTGCATCACTGAGTTTTTCCACATTAGGAGGCTGTCTTAAGAGCAAAAGTAGGTTTAGTTTAGAACACAAAATAGGGCAGTAAAAATCCCTAAAGCCAATCAAGCACAGGCAAGGGCCCTCTAACTGTGGCATGTATCCCCCCCCTTACTATGTCCCCACTCCTACCAGCCTGGTCTTGTAGAGAAATCTGCCACCCCTCACCTCATGTGAAGCCAAGAACTACAGAAACTTTGTATTCCATTCTCCATTTTTCTAAGAGATTGTTCTTAAAGCCTAATACTCCTCATCCAAGCCATATCCTTTATTCCTCCCTGGGCCAGTGAATGAGTTAGGATGTGGAAGTGTGTGGGTGTGGCATAGGGAAGAAGGGGTAGGCAGGGACACAGCCATTTTCCTGATCTCATGACTGACTGCATTTGACCATCAGTAAGTCCAGGAGCAAGGAGCTCTGGGGATGTAGTGGTTAAAGCATTTGACTGCTAACCAAAAGGTCAGTAGTTTGAACCCAGAAGCCACTCTACAGAAGACGGATGAGGCAGTCTGCTTCTGTAAATATTTACAGCCTTGGAAACCCAATGAGGGTCACTATGAGTCAGAATCCACTCAATAGCAGTGAGTTTGGTTTGGTTTGGTTTAAGTCCAGGAACAGTCAAGTGAAAGAGCTCTGTCTCCTGGAGACCTCAACCCATCCAACAGCCACTGCTACATGAAGAACTCAGGTTTCTGAGATGAGCGTTCTGTAACTCAGCTACTGTTGTGTTATTACTGGCCATTAAGTCAACCTCATGTATGAGACTAGAACTGCTCCATAGGGTTTTCAAGGCTGTGACTTTTCCAAGATACCTCTGAGTGGATTCAAACCACCAATCTTTAGGCTGATAATCAAGCACTCAACTGCTTGCATTACCCAGAAATTCCACGTCAGTCAGTTATTACTGCATACCAAACACAAAACCTCCATGGCAAACATGGAGATAGATAAATACATACATACATACATACATACATACATACATACATACATAGACAGACAGGCAGGCAGATAGATATACCAGAATCAGCATTTATTTCTCACTCGTGCATCTATAGACCTGCTAAGGTTTGGCTGATCTGGTTGGCCTCAGACTGCAGGTTTGGCTCAGGTCTGTTCCATACATCACTCTTCTGGGAACAGTGAGTTACATAGGACATGTTCTTCTATGGCTATGGCAAGAAGCTCCCACAGGGTACATAGAATCACCTGGTGCTTTTTATGGCCTCAGCTCAGAAGTCCCCCTCTCACATCCACCCTCATTCCACTGTGAATGAGACATGGAGTAGACCTGCAGCCCACTCTGATGCTGTACTCATTCACTTGCACTTGTTCACATCCCTCTCACCTCATCATTGCATCTTGGGGATAATTCAAACCATCACTTTCTGTTGTTTTATTTTGTGAGGGTCATTAACTGGCTTCTTTTAAAGTAGAAACTCCAAGAAACAATCAATCAGAAATCACCACTAACCACTGTGGCACAAAATGGTTTGCTGAGGTCAGACAAATGAGAAATTCAAAACCCAGATCCACTAATTTTGAGTGATCTTGGCCATATACTTAAACTCTGAGTCTCAGCTTCCCTGTCTGTAACAGAACAGCAATAATACTGAATGACGCAGACCTACTGGTACCCCTCCCATATTCCCTGGGTCTTTACTCTTTCTGCCAGCACCCACATCTCTTTCCTGGGGACTTTCTATGACTGCTGAGGCCCCTTCTGCCCATACACATAGCAGGGAAGAAGTGCCAGGTAGATAAAAACCCCAAGACTCCAACTCCTCTGCAAAGTATCTCTATTTGTGAGCTCTACACTGTCTCCCAGAGTTCCCCAAAGGAGCTGGCCTATATTCACCCACAGTGGTAACTTGCTTGACAACATGTCTTCTGTGGGCTACCTTCTCTTCCCTCTCTCATTCCTCAACTCCCTACTGGTATATTCTGCATTGATTTCCAAAATTCAAACCCAAGCAAAGAAAAATACCTATTTTTGTAAAGATTAAATGAGAGAATGTGTATAAAGTCCCCAGACCAACACTGGCCTACTGCTGATCCCTGCTTCATAAAACAGGTCTGTAGATGCACGAAAGAGAAATAAATGCTGATTCTTAATTGCCATGGAGGTTTTGTGTTTGGTATGCAGTAATAACTGACTGACATGTGGAATCTCTGGGTAACATAAGCAGTTAAGTGCTTGATTATCAGCCTAAAGGTTGGTGGTTTGAACCCACTCAGAGGCATCTTGGAAAAGTCATAGCCTTGAAAACCCTATGGAGTAGTTCTACTCTGCACACATAAAAAATATTTACTGCTTCATGCAACTGATACACCATGCAATCCTCAGCCTATCTGACTATGAGACCAGAAGAACTAGATGGTACCCGGCTACACTGTCAACCACTCAGAGGCAGATCTATGTAGGGGATCCTGGATAGAGAGGGAAAACAATATGGAAAATCAGAATCGTTTGGGGGGGAAAAAAAAAAAAAGGACCAGTTTTGCTGGTCTGATAGAGCCTGGTGGAACCACTTAGACTATGGCCCCTAGCTGCCCTTCAGGTCTGGAATTGAACCCATTCCTGTGGCTTCCAGCCAAACAAAAGTCAGGCATATGAGGTGAACATTTACACTAGGTAGATACACTCCTTGGAGAGAACAATCATGGGAGAATAGAAGGGCTGTGTATGCACAGGGAGACAACTCAGGGGGCAGGACAGCACAGAAGGAAGGACACAGGGAAGAGGTAACTATGAGAAGTGGGAGGGGAGCTGTTGCATTCTGGTAAATTGTAGTCTATGTTATGAAACTGTGTGTGTGAACTGCTGTGTGGAAGGTGAATTTGCTCTATCAACTTTCACCCAAATCACAATAAAAATAAATAAATATTTACTGCTTCACAAAAAATAATTTGAAAGTAGGAGCCGTGTTATGCACATCTGACATTAGCTCCTGTCTTTAAATGTTGTCCTTTTGCTTTCTGATGCTTATAGTGGTATACAGAGGAGTCACTGAGACAAACTGCTCTTCATTTACAATATGTTGTCTTCTGGGAAAACCAAAGTGCTGGTCCCACTGCATGACCAGTTTGGGTCCAATAATCACTGCTTCACTACCCCTACTGATTCCCTCCCTTTTCCCCAGCCTGATGAACTATCCAACCAGTGTTTTAAGGGCTTTCCCCTTTTTTTTCCTAATGACAAAGGAGAAATAAGCTAGGGCTGTTAGGATCTTTACTGCATTTTCTGTCTTGACCTATTATTTGTGTATCTTAACTACCTATCCCTTTCTCTAAAGATAAAGTTTCTTCCACTTCTGACTGGGGTAATAAAGACATAAACCGGGCCAGAATTTGATTTCCTGAGCTGACCAAATGCTAACACAGGAAAAAAGAAAAGGAAAAGACAAAGAAAGGATGGCAGCTTGCCCTTCCATAAGGAAGGGGTTAATGCCTCCTCTAGAACCCTGGCAGGTATCCTGTGGGGGCTAAATGACAGAAAGCCCCACTCAGCTCACCTGGGCCTCCACTTCAGGGCTCTGGAGGGTCCACCATGAGACAAAAATATGCATGTGTCCAAAGTCCTCTTTGGTGACTACAAAATTTAAAACCTGGGAAAACCCAGGGAGGCCCAAAGGAAATATGGACACGATGCCAAGAGAGACTTCAGTCCAAACAAATATATTTGGGAGAAATTAGAACATAAACAGGCCAGTAATTGGAGATAGTATCTCACTGACTCAGAATTAGGCTAAGAAAACCTGAAAGCACAAGCTATCAAACTGAAGAAAATGACAGCATTTTCTGAATCCTTAACACTTGACTGGGCTACATAATAATAGACTCAATTGTCCTCAGTGCCCAAGTGTTTAGAAGGTTTCAAGCAGGAAGCCTGAGAAAACACATTTTTCTTCCAAGACTCTGAGTGCCCCTTGGTGAGGAGCTCTTAAAACTGTTAACGTGATACATCCAATTTCTGCACACGTGTCAGGGTTCTGAAGACTATATAAGAAGGAAAGCTAGGCTTTGGGTGTTATGAATATTGGGTTGTCTTTGTATGTGTCTGTCTAGCTGTCTAGCTTTTGTGTTACGAACCCTATGTTTTCTCTTCCCCCTGCCTCAGGACATTTGCCCACAGGAGCTGTCTCTGGAACCTAATGACCATCAGGAAGTTGAATGGGACTATAAAAACCATCTAGGGCAGCCTCTGAATTTTCAGATGAAAAATTTCTTTCTCTGAAGTCCAGAGAGGGAGTGTGATTTTCCCAAGGCCACACAGCATCTGGTATCATCAGGAAACCAAGGGTTCTGTTTTATCACTGGTGGAGGTTATAGGAAGTTTGGTCACTGAAATGCCATAAAGCTTGGTAAGCACCAACCATGGCTCTGTGGCAGAGATAAGCGAGGCTGGGCAGGGCCTTGGACAGCTGTCTCCTTCCCACCTGCCTCATTACCTAGGCAGGGTCTTGGCACCAAGTGACATAGCCCTCTCCAAAGTCCATCAAGGGCAAATAGTGCTGTCTACTCATTAGAATTTGGAAAGCTGGGATTGCATAGAAGGGTGGAGGGTGTTTAGGATCATTTAGGATATGGCATGGTACATGCAGAAGGCAGAATCAATCAGCACTCACCTTCATAGCAAGGGATCAGTGTCCTGCCTTTGGCCTGGAGGTTGGATGGGATGATGTAGCAGAAGCCATGTGGCAGGATATGGTCTGTTTCATAATAAATGTTTTTCCAGCGATGGGCACAGGCCTAAAGAAACAGAGAGAGCTTCAGAGCAGGAATGTTGGCCCCAAGAGGTTGCAAAGCAGACCCCTGGGAAAGCCAGGTTGTTCTCTGGAAGAGAGAAGCAGAGGGCCAGGAAGCCATCCCTTCTCTTGGTCAGCCACACCTTACAACAACCAGTGTCCTGAGCATTAGAAAACTGCATGAACAAGATCAGGCCCCTGTTCTCACACAGTTTTGATGCTCCTAGGAGGAGACAGACAATAAACAAATATATGAATACATGAGAGAATGAATATAGCTAGTGCTAGAAAGGAAAGTGACAGGGTTATGGAACAAAAAAATTGGCAGTGGGAAGGATGGTTTTCATCTGGGGGTCAGGGAGGGAGAAAGAGCCAACCATGCTGAGCACACAGGGACAAGTGGACTGGGTGGATGGAGTGTCACGTGCAAAGGACTCAAGATGAGAAAGGCTGGGAGGTTCAAAAGAAAGGCGGCCACTGAGGCTGGTTTTGAGTGAATATGGTAGGGCAAGGGGGCCTTGTAGACTATGAGACAAACTGTAATTTTAGGGTATATGCAATGGGAAGCCACTGGAGAGTTGTAAGCAGATGAGTGGCATGGTCTGATGTCCACCTTGGGAAACTAACAGCTGCTATGTAGAGACTGCAGATAGGCAAGGGTAGAAGCAAGACTACAGGTAAGAGATGATGCTGCTGGCCTGGACCAGGACAAAGGCAGTGGAGATGAAAAAAGGGGTGGCTTCAGGATGCATGCTGGAAGTAGAAATGATGGGAGAGGGGGAAAGGGAGGAGTAGGAGACCAAGTGCAAACAAGACAATCATCCAACACCCAGGGGGGACCCTTGGGCCAGAATGGGCCTGCTGTGCATGCCTTACATGTGCATGTACTCATTGATTTGCTCATCACATATTTATTAACCACCTACTACACATCAGACCAGAAGGCTGGCGGTTAAAACCCACCAGCCACTCTGCAAAACAAAGACTGGACAATATACTTCCATAAAGATTTACTGCCCTGGAAACCCAATGGGGGTCACTATGAGTCAGAATCAACTCAATGGCAGTGGGTTTGGTTTGGTTTGGTTTTATGTGTCAGACACTCTGTGAGGCACTGAGAATACAGCAGTGAAGAAAAAGCCGTGGCCCTTCTCTTGGATCAGGCTGAGGGGGGGAGAAAAAGCTGAGAAGGCAAGAGGCTCCTTCTTGGACCACCATCAGGCATTTGTGATGTCCACCCACTGACCCATGCTTTCAGCAGGAGGCCTGCATCAAATGTCACCTTCTGTTAGAATCACCTGGAGGCTTCACTAAAACACAAATTGCCAGGCCCCACCCCAGCAAGTCTGCCATAGGGTCTGATAATGTGCCAGGTAGTACTGCCAGGTAGTACTGAGGTTGCTGGTCTGCATGCATATTTTGGGGAACTCTAGTGTCACTTCAGAGCCAAGGGTAGATTGAACCATATAAAATTATCATCATTTGACTATTTTTACCTACAAAAATTCTCCAGCATGCATCTCGTTGTTGAGTACTCATAGTAACCCCGTATGGCAGAGCAGAACTTCCCCATAGGGTTTTCCTGGCCATAATCTTTATGGAAGCAGATTGCCAGGTCTTTCTCCTATGGAGCCTCTGCGTAGGTTTGAACTGCTGACCTTTCAGTTAGCCAATGAGTGCTTAATCATTATGCCACCAGGCTCCTTGGCATATCAGTAACTAGAAGTAAAATTTGTTGACGGTTCTTCCTTTGATGTTTACATACAACAAAATGCACAAATCTCAAGTGTACCATTTAATGAGTTTTGGCCAATGCACATGCTCATGTAACCAGACCTCTAACATGATGTAGAACATTTCCATCTCACCAGAAAGTTCCCTCAGGCTGTTTCTGACAGCTGGTCAAGAAAGCCTCTCTGAGGAGGTGACATTTAAGCAGAGACTCAAGGAAAGTGAGGGAGCAGCTGGGTGGAAATCTGAGGGAATGTTCAGGGCTGAGAGCCCAAGAGGGGCAAGAGCTTGATGTGTTTGTGGAGATGAGATGTTAAGGGTAAAAAGACCCTTTGGTCAGCTATCAAGAGCAAGCCTCACTGGCAGATATCGTACCGGGTGCCAGCAGCAGGAATAGAGACCTGGATCATCTGTCTGCCTCATCAGATGTGGCCCTGGTCTGTGCTCCACCCACACAGAACACACCCAGCCTTACACTTGGACATAACAACCACCCCAGATCCATGTGCGAGTCTCCACACACCTGAATAGCCACCACAGGGCTGAATGGAAGTTCACTCAGAGGCCATGCATGGGCCCAGCACACCGCGTTTCCTGTGGAACCACTATTCGTTTTTGTTATCAATTCACGTCACTCTGGCCAATGAACGCATTTTCTTAAAATGTCACATTTTAAAATAATCAGTTTTTAACATCTTTGTTTGTTTCCTCCAAACCCACTGTTTCTATAAGCTGTTAGATTCAGCATCTTTATGGTCTGTATTTGATGTTTTCAGCAACTCTGGAAGATGAAGAAATATCCTTAGAATTCTCATTTTCCATAAGGGAACACTGAGAATCAAGGGGTGCTTTGACCTACACAGCAGAGCTAGTAAGTGTTGTTAACAGGGCTAAACTCCATGATGTCTAATTCCTCCTTGCCTCCCCAGAGACATCTTAAAACTCCCAACTCCTGCCTAAGAAGTCATCAGAACCCACCACCTGAGGCAGGTCTGGCAGCCGTTTATTGTTGTTGCACCCTTCCCCACAGGTCCCAGGACCCCTGAAATAACCATTCTGGGGGAAAATGGAGCACTCAGCGTCTCAAGTGAGTAAGGGGGCTCTCCAGGGCCTCGTTATCCCTGATGTCGCTCGGTAGTAAGATCACTGTCCACCACCCTCTCTGCTCCTCCCCTTCAAGGCCAGCCACCAGCAGGGCCCTTGACAAGGCCACTCTCTGTCCAAAGACAAAAGAGGACACACTCAGAGTGACCCTCAAGACCTGAGCTTGCACGTACTCTGCCGCTTCCCCTATGACCTTAAACTACATAAAGCAATCTCTTGTGATTATTTATACTGAGAACCACCATCATTCCTCCCCTCCTTGGTACTGTTTTGTGCTAAAACAGCATGTTTCTCATGGACTGAAATACAATGGAGCAAAGAACTATTACAATATATCACTAAACAGAACATCACTAAACAGATCATCACTCCATAAAAACAAAAAGGAAAAAAGAGAGAAAAAACTGTTGCTGTTAAGTTGATTCTGATTCATGGAGACGCCATGTGCCACAGAGTAGACCATAAGGTTTTCTTGACTGTAATCTTAAGGAAGCAGATTGCCAGGCCTTCTTCCATGGTGCTACTAGGTGGGTTCAAACCACTAACCTTTAGGTTAGAAGTTCAGCACAGAACGTTTTTGCCACATAGAAGTCTTAGTAATTCCATACTGCTAAATAATTGAAAATACAACAAATAATTGAAAGTATTTTTAAAAAATGTTTAGTTCTGACTCAATTTTGATAGGTTACACACGTAAACCACTTGATATTATTTAATTAGCAGATAAATTAACACTCTAGCTTATGGATTCAAGGCACCCTGGTGGCACAATGGTTCTGTGATCAGCTGTTAGTCACATGATTGGTGGTTCCACCAAAGATGAGACGGTCTGCCTCTGTAAAGATTGTTGGTGGTGGTGTTGTTATGTGCCGTTGAGTCAGATCTGACTCACAGTGACCTCTCTTCCTTGGGTTTCCGAGGCAGTATCACTACGGAAATAGTTTGCCCAACCTTCCTTCCAAGGAGTGGCTGGTGGGTTTGAACCACCACCTTCTGGTTAGCAGTCAAGTGCCTTAGGCACTATACTACCAGAGCTCCTGCAGCCTTGGAAACCCTAAGGGCAGCTGTGCTCTGTCCTATAGGTTACGACTGCAATGGATGGGTTTTATGGAGCTGGCAAAGCCCTTGGCTTCTAGGCCTTCACATGTTTTACTGCAATTCTGTGCTGGAGGCACTGAAAGAAGAGGTGGATGTTTATAAGAATGCAGTCTCTCACAGCCAGATGCACACTAGACGCTTACAAGGAAGGGTTTGCTGCATTTGCTGTCTAGTTTATTGTCTCCTCATTTTATTAAGCCCCATGAATTGTTTAAGGGGTGACCTTGGAGAATTCCAAGAATATCCAAATACTGAATTTCACATTAAACTAAAATTAAGGCATTCTGTGAGGTAAGAGATCAAAGTGCCAAAGGCAGGATCATGCGGGGGAAACATAGAACAGTGTCTCTGAATATAAATTATATTTAGCCCTGATTATCACTGTAGATCTATAATGTGTATCTGTATATTACAGATTGACATGTTAATTAAAAAAAAAAAAAAATCCTAGGGACTGTCTGAAAGCACTAATAACTCTGTCCATCTCTCCAAATGAGTTCTGTGGTGAGGGAGAAATAGGGGAAGAGCTGGGAAGATGGACAGAAAATCGGGAGCAATCTTTGAAAATAGCAAAACTTGCTCAAATGCCACTAGATCCCAAATAGCTGTAAGAAAGACAAAGGGTACAGCAGCATCACCTCAGATCTTAGAATCTGACCTATTTCAATTTATAAGGATTGCTTTTCCTCCCAAAAGATGAAAAAGAAGAAGAAAATGAACAATTCATTTCAAAGGTCTTTTCTGTTGTCTAGAAACAGCATGTCCTTCCTGGGGCGGGAGGGATGATGGGTACTAGAACTCCTGCTGATTCAACCACAAAGGCACATCAGTCCCCCACTACACCCAATGCTTTCACCATATACAGACAGCCAGAACTTCTATCACACCTCCAGGTCTACATCACACAGCCTGAGCCGGACCCTGGCTGCTGAGAGAAGTGTGGGATGGGGAGCGGGCTGGACACAAAGCTGTAAGACGTCAGGCTTATGATGCCCCAAGTCCCTCAAGAAATTCCCTCACAAAAGAGAAGCAGCAAGGACCAAGGGAGACATGAGGAGGAACATGTGGGGT